TACGAATTAGCCACTAAATGAAAAAGTTACAAATTGCCGTGAGATTGTGTTGGTATTTCAGATAGAATTGTTTGTTTACAGTTATTCTTTGAGGAGATATCAAAGTTTAAATAGTTTCAATGAGTTAATAATAGTTAGAGATAGACATTCATTCATTCATTCATTTTCTTGTCGGCTTAGTCCCTTTATTAATCCGGGGTCGCCACAGCGGAATGAACCGCCAACTTATCCAGCAAGTTTTTACGCAGCGGATGCCCTTCCAGCCGCAACCCATTTCTGGGAAACATCCACACACACATTCACACTTATACACTACAGACAATTTAGCCTACCCAATTCACCTGTACCGCATGTTTTTGGACTGTGGGGGAAACCGGAGCACCCGGAGGAAACCCATGCGAAGGCAGGGGAAACATGCAAACTCCACACAGAAACGCCAACTGAGCCGAGGTTCGAGCCAGCGACCCAGCAAGCAACCTTCTTGCTGTGAGGCGATAGCACTACCTACTGCGACACTGCCTCGCCCAGAGATAGACATTCATATGCAAAAACATTGATTGTTACTGTCATTGTGTATTATGCAACAAGTGTTGTCTTAAGTACCTCATTGTTTTGTACTTCAGCTTTTTTTTTTTTCTTAGAGATAGTAAAAATTCTACTTCATTGTTCATTTTCATGTTAAGTAAAACATAAACTTTAAAGTATGGCTTAATTGACTGTTTCTGGTACATAGAAACAAAGAGTAATGTGTACTAAATGTCTATGTAAAAATCACTCAAATTACTCCGCTTGGCAGTAAATTTGTTTAGGCTATGACTTAAAAAAAACTGCAAAAGAAAATTCAGTACATTTTATTTTTGATTTGTTGTCATCTGTCGTTTTGAAATAAAATAGTTATGTCCTTTTTTACTACAGCTTGTTGAATGCAACGCACATACTGTAGTTGCTCAAGGCTGACCACAGGAATGAATTTCACATTATTTTATCAGAGATCTTGACTTTCAGCTATTTTGATTTGCAGCATAGCAACAAGGTATGTCAACTCCTTCTTAAACACTTTCTGATATATTAAACACTTTCTGATATATATATATCTATATATATATATGGGCGAAGCAGTGGTGCAGTAGGTAGTGCTGTCGCCTCACAGCAAGAAGGTCGCTGGGTCGCTGGTTCAAGCCTTGGCTCAGTTAGCGTTTCTGTGTGGAGTTTGCATGTTCCCCCTGCCTTCGCGTGGGTTTCCTCCAGGTGCTCCGGTTTCCCCCACAGTCCAAAGACATGCGGTACAAGTGAATTGGGTAAGCTAAATTGTCTGTAGAGTGTGTGTGTGTGTGTGGATGTTTCCCAGAGATGGGTTGCGGCTATGGAGACAGATCTTATCTGTCTCCATAGCGGCTGTTAGGGCATCCTCTTTGTAAAAAAAACTTGCTATATAAGTTAGTGGTTCACTCCGCTGTGGCGACCCCGGATTAATAAAGGGACAAAGCCGACAAGGAAATGAATAAATATATATATATATGTGTGTGTGTGTGTGTGTGTGTATGTATATATATATATAGTGCTCAGCATATATACGTACACCACTCACAAATCTTTTACATTAATATTTTTTATTGGAGGCTATACAAATATTATATTGTGTCTTCTGAAGCTTATCTAACAAAACCTAGTACACTCAAATATATGTTATATAAAAATATTAAATACAAATTTTAAAAAGAGGAAAAATCAAGGGTAGCAAAAAAGTACAAATTTAGTTGAAATAGTTTAGTTGTCATTTCTTCTTTTTTTATATTTTTAGTTGGTGACTTATTATTTTAATAAATTTATCTATTTAATAAATCTAATTTGTTTAAATGCACTAAAATACATTGCCTATATTCACTGAGAAATGGAAAAAATATATATACACACACATATCATTATCAATTATCAATAACTGTTTTTTCATCCGAACAACTTGAAATTATGTTACACAGCCCTTTCAGTTCTGTTTATTTTAAATGCTGCCTAAAATTCTCTTTGTTCAGTCATTTAGTGTAAAATGGCTGCTGAATACCTCAGATATGATCTGTTGCAGATTATCAGTTTTCAGGTTCTCACTGTTGGTTTTATGTTCTTATTAATGATATTACATATTGTCAGAGGAGAAATAATGTTTTGGGTAATATTCCAGTTTTTATTGACCAAAAGGATCCTTTATGAGAGCTTGATTCTAAGACAAATAATAATAATAATAACATTAATAATAATGACAATAATAATAATAATTATTATTATTATTATATAGTCATTTTTTTGTTGTCATACAGTTAAAAACTTGAAATTATTATTATTATTATTATTATTTTGTTATTTTTTTAGCTATACTCATCATAACAGGAATTTTGACCTGGAAAAGTTCACAAAAATGTATTTTGTCCAAGATATTCTGAATATCTCAGAAGCCAACTAAAGGCTGATAACTACAAAATCTAAGACCCCTTATTTTAACAACATGATCCAATCACATTCCTCCTTTAGTCCATAGATATATACAAATATACTAATCTTGCCTTTAGTCTACACATTTTTGAGCGTATTATCAGTCACACGATAAGGTCACAGTACCCCCTGCTGGAGATAATAAAAGCTACTACAGACTCCCATATGATAGTCTATGCAATCTAGTAACGTTATCTAACATAAAATGTCTCTGTTTAATTAAATGTTTTCATTTTTGTAATGACTTTACGAAGGCAGTATCATTTTTATTCCTCACGGAATTACATATATAATAGTTAACTTCCCTGTTTATTGATAGCGGAAGACTGTGTTGTTGAATAAACTAGTAGAATGGCTGATACAAAGAGAACACTAAAAGTCCATAACTCCTGCAGAGGGCGCACTGTTGCTCATTATATCCAGATTATATTTCATGAAGAGAACTCGTATTTGGGCCCGTCTAAAATTTCTGCGTGTAAAGTCAATGGTTTACAAAATAATGATGAAAATATTAGGCTTAATCATCATTTGCCTATTTCCACTTTAACATATAAAATTAATAAATCAAATCAATAAATAAACAAAAAGATCAATATTCTGAATTATACAGCACAGATGTTTGGAATGAATTCAATTGTATCTGTAAAGAGTGCTTGATAATTACAATTATTAACACAGTAACTGTGAAATATTTTATACTGACTCCCAAAGTGCATGATAAGTGTTAGTAGAATTTAAATAATAATAAATAATAGTTTTATTAACTTTGCCATATCAAATGTATGTAGATTAGTTAGCAATATATAGTGAAATTAGATCACTTTGAAAAAAGTTATAGCAAATTTTTTGTGCAAATCGCTTCCTTTAACACAAATAATTCTGGTTTCTTGTACCTAAAATAATTCTGGTTTCTTGTACCTACAATAATTCGGGTTTCTTGTACCTACATTACAGGGGAAAATTGTAGCTATTGCTATAAAAAATCAAGCAAAAAGTAAACTAACCTCTTATAATTTCAAATATATTAGCCATAACCATTTTTAAGGCATACTATGGTTTGGAAAAGTCAAGGTTTTAAAACCGGCAAAATATTCTGCTATACCGTTCCTATGTGTTTTTTATTTATGTGTTTTGCTTGTTTGTTTTCAAGACAACAATATCTCCAGCAGAAATGATATCTAAACTGCCATTTTAAATTGTAAAGAATCTGTGTTTTTGAAACTAATAAAGACAGCAGAAGACAATGATTAATTTGTAATTATTTAGCCTGACACGTTTACTGCTCCAAAATATTTAAAATGTTTCTCAAAATAAAAGATATTGTGTTCAAAGGGGGAAAAACTTTTCTTTACCCAGCCATTTAAAAACATACAGTTGAAGTCAAAATTATTAGCCGTCCATTGAATTTTTTTTCTTTTTTTATATATATATTTCCAAATGATGTTTGACAGAGCAAGAAAATTTTCACAGTATGTCTAAAAATATTTTTTTTCTTCAGGAGAAAGTCTTATTTCTTTTATGTTGCCTAGAATAAATATAAAAATATATAATAAAAAATTAGGGTCAATATTATTAGCCCTGTTAAGCTATATATTTTTGAATGTCTACAAAACAAACCATGGTTATACAATAACTTGCCTAATTACCCTATCCTGCCTAGTCAACCTAATTAACCCAGTTAAGCCTTTAAGTGCCACATTAAGCTGTATAGAAGTGTCTTGAAAATTATAGTAAAATATTATGTAATGTCATAATGGCAAAGATAAAATAATACGTTTTTAAAGATAAGTTATTAAAACTATGTTTAGAAATGAGTTGAAAAAATCTTCTCTCCATTAAACAGAAGGGGGGGGGGGTTAACAGGGGGATAATAATTCAGACTTAAACTGTATATATTTTAGAGGGCAGTAATTCTGAAAAACTGTGATTTTTTTTATCCCTGTGATTTTTATGATAACCCAAGGTTATCATACTGTTAGAATATTATTTGTGATGCTAATGAAGTAGTGTATTCTCTGAAATATTTTTGTTCTATTGGGAATTTAACATCAAGATGTCTTAGGAAAATGCCAAAAAAACATATAATAATTAAATAATTAATTAATAAATAATAATAATAATAATAATAATAATAATAATAATAATAATAATAATAATAATAATAAAAGGATTGACATTTCCATACATTCACAGAATTATTTATTTTACAAACAAAATTTAAAACAGTTTCCAATGATTTCCTGTTACTTCACCATTATTGTTATTGAACTACAAAAAGAGTAAAACTTTTGTAATGAAAGTGAGGTAATGAAACGAATGTTTTACTGATTAGTCTTGTATTACTACTACATTACTACATACTACAATACAATGCTCGTATTATTATTGTTGATACTACAAAAAGAGTTAGTATTTGTTAGTATTTAACAATGTCATCAAAATTTTGCCAACAAATCAAGAGGGAATGACGAAACCACGCCTTCTTTGAGACTCTTTCTGACACTCGTTTCTTATACGTATCTCATCTACTGGTTTCATTTCTATGGTGTCACATGTTAGTTAGCTGATTTGTAAACAGAAGTGGTTTGAATTATTATTTTTACATTGTTCTATCGTAAAAAAAAATGTCGCTTACTTTGTCTATTTTAGTGCTGACTTTCTGCGTACAGGTGTGGTCCAAGGTTTGCCCTTGTGAACGAAAAGAACTCTGTCAACCTATTAGTTCCCAGCCGGCGTTTGAGGTGAGTGACAGTCCATGATGTTTCGCTTCATCACGGCGTTAAAAGTTAGTCTGGCGTTTAACATTTGAGCCCAAACTGTCATACATAGGCCTACATAAACGTGTGCCCTTTATTTTGCACAAAGTTGAAATTCTCGACAAATACATACAAAGGCTAAATACAGACTAAATTATTGAGAAGTAGCGCTGACAAGATTTTCTTTTTTTAGGCTATAACAGCACATTCAGCATTGCAACTCGTGACTGAGCTGTCAAATATCACCTGATTTCATCACCGTGTACTGCGGTTAGGTCCGAATTTTAGAAAGTAACTTATTTAAGCAGTACTTTTTTTCTTTTTTTATAAGCTGTGTTTCTCTATTTACGTGTCAAAGTAATTATTTATGCACAGGTTATTTAGTGCAAAAACAGAATGGCAGGTTTAAATGGCTAGAGTTCCTGTAAGTAACACTGTTATTTATGTCCCACCCTCTGCTAATAGCCATACCTAATTTAAAAAAAAATACAATTTAAATAGCTTTTTTATAAAATAAATGCATATCACCAATAATAATAATAAAATATTGTAAATATTAACTTTATGTATTGTTGAATTATTTTTAAAACATTTGCTGGAACTGAAAATTAAAATGAAATGCAAATGCATTTTTTTGCTAAGATACAGGACAAAATATGTTTGCAGTTAACATATTAACTGGGTATTAACATATTACATATCAGATATCTCTCTGATTAAGTCAGTAAATCTAGCATATGGGCTATGTTTGTGTTACTTTTTGTGTTATTTTATGTCAGATATCTTTAAAATAAACAAGATTAAGTCAGTAAATTAGCACATATTATTGTTACTTTTGACCTACATGCTACGTCTGAGTTAATGTGTCCCTAATGTCCCTCAAAAGTAACAATGTGGTCTATGCTTAAAATAAAATTATTTTGAAGTTGTTCTACATTTGTAGAAATTTACCACCTGATATTAATAAACCAGACTTATGAGTTTATAAACACCATTTATAAAAACAATTGTAAAATTTTCACAAAACTTGTTTTTTTTTATTGTTGATTTTATAAACTGTACTGAATCGATGTTTTCAATGATTAAGACTGTACACACTTAAAACAATTAAACTTTGACATACTTTGAGATAAATCAAAACAACTGTAAATAAACTTAATATTTTTTATTATATCTTGTTTTGAATTCATTTATTTCCACTGCTTACTACTTTACACTTAAATTAAATAATCTCTGATACAATTGGAGATAAAGGTTTCAAACCAACTGTAATATATTCAGAATATTATTTCTTATTAGGCTTGATTGTGCTTGTATTATTTTATAAACAGTACTAAATTTATGTTTTGGATGATTAATACACTGTACAGACTAAAGTTTAACTAAGTTTGAAGTAAAGGTATTAAATCAACAGTACAATATTCATAATATTATTCTCAATAATGCACAAGTTATGCATTTATTGTCCTTTTACATTGTACAGAATCCATATTTTTTTGTTGTTCAATGTACTTTATTCAACAAAATGTAGATTCAGTACCATATATAAAAACATGGAGAATATATAAATTATAAAAACACAATGGACAATAATATTTGAAATATTTTACAGCTAATTCAATACCTTTATCTCCAACTATGTCAGAGTTCGATTAATTTAAGCGCTTACAATGTATTTAAAATTTCATTTCATAGTCAAATTTGATTTCAAATTCTTGTGCAATATCAGGGATGTTTTTCTTCACATTTTGGTACTAGTGTTACCAAAGAGCATAGAATGAGACATGGGCTTGGGCTCCAATGAAGGGGAGCTTGAGCTCCAACTCCTCCTCCTATAAGCTGTTTTAATGCATACACCCACCCCACCCATAACCCCAACCCCCAGTGACATCATTTGTAGAAGAAGTGCAAGGAAGGAGGAGCTGGAGCTGGAGCTGGAGCTCAGCTCTGCTCAAGTGGCTCTGCAGCGAGCACCATTTGGGCATAGAATCACCAAGAGGCAACACTCTGTTGCTATTTGGGAAACAGCCACTAGATGTCGCTAGTGTCACACGGCCACCTAATAAGTACTAATAAGTCTTTCTTTAACAGACAACACTGGGAAAATGCTATTAAAACATACAGTACTGCGACAAAAAATGTACTGTCAGTCTGTTATCAACATCCCATTTTGAAAGTTTCATTTAACATGTCAATAATCATTTGTATTATGCTAAAAGTGACAGCTTTAAGAAAACAAGTATGGTTATTAAACATTAAGTCTGTAAAATAAACTATTAAAAGTGCTGATTATCGCCAGTCTTGTGATTTGTATAGTTTTATAATGTTGTTCAAATTTTATCTCAGCTTTAATGCACATCATTCATTCATTCATTCATTCATTCAATCATTTTCTTTTTGGCTTAGTCCCTTTATTAATCTTGGGTAGCCACAGCGGAATGAACCGCCAACTTATCCAGCATATGTTTTACGCAGCGGATGCCCTTCCAGCTGCAACCCATCACTGGAAAACATCCATACACAGTCATTGACACACATACACTACGGACAATTTAGTGTACCCAATTCACTTTTGCCGCATGTCTTTGGACATGTGGGGGAAACCGGAGCACCCGGAGGAAACCCACACAAACACGGGGAGAAAGTGCAAACTCCACACAGAAACGCCAACTGACCCAGCCGAGGCTCGACCACTGAGCTTCTTGCTGTGAAATGAACATGCTACCCATTGCGTCACCGTGCAGCCCTTTAATATGCTTTTTAAATTTAAAAAAAAAAAAAAAAAATATATATATATATATATATATATATATATATATATATATATATATTTTTTTTTTTTTTTTTTTTTTTTTTTTTAAGCAGCTACTTGCCATTACGACAGCAATAAAATCCAATGGATGGACGATTGTTTTCACTCTAAAATGGTGGAACCACGGGGCTGTTACTGGGCGCTGCTGTTGCAATGGAACGTTCTATTGAGTGTCGCCTCTTGCTGATTCTAATTTCTTTGGTGTTACTGTATATTTGATGTACCTAAATTGTTTAATTTATTTATGTGGTTATTTTTAAAATAAATTAAGTCCTGTGTACCATAATAGGCACGTATTTATATCAATCTGACATTGATGGGCTCAAAATATAGAAGGTGCAAAAAGTTTAACTGGTTTGAAATGTCTAATAAATGTCAAATGTCAAACTAACTTTAATCTTGATAGCTCCAGCTGTCAAAGAGAGTTGCAGTGTGTATGATTCAAAGATATCCTGATCTGTTTGCTATGTCAAATACAGACCAATAAAACACTTTTTGAAATTGTAAAAACTTTGAAACTGTAAAAACATCTGCAAACAAAGTATGAAAGATCTTTACCTAGAGCTAATGATATTGTGTGATATTCCCTTAATGAATATGAAAAATACACAAATGATGTACTTTTGGTTGCATTCATTGCTCCCTTTTGTTTTTGCTGTAGTAGAGCTTCTTTTCAGCTCATAAACCTGGAAGTAAGGTTGTCATGATATTGGAATTTGGTACCAATCAATATTGAAATTTTAAAAACGTCCATTTCCCGCCAACATTTTAACACTGTTTAGAGCGTTCTTAAATAGTGCTGATTTGCCATTGTGTTCACATGCTCAACAAAAGTGACTGTGATTGTCCATGAAGGCCCATTGGGCCTTAGTCTCCAAATTCACCTGTGGTCCCATTCGAACATCTGTGGTTCGACTTGAAAATACATGTTTGAGCTACATCAAGACCACTAAGCAGTGTATGGGAACTGATGAACTTTGTTGAAATTATGGTTTTAGGTTTCTTAGGAGACCTATCACCATCTCATGAAGTTAGTGTCTCATTACGTGGCCTTTGGTTATTGTTGAGGTCATAATGCAATGTCTCATCCATGTGTGTGTAATATACATTAACAAAAAGCTCACAAATGGCATCTTCTTTTCAGGTTTTTGTGTTTGATGTTGGGGAAAAGGCGTGGAAATTTTATGACTGGACCAAAGTGACAACCATTGCTGCTTTTGGACAATATGATGCTGAACTCATGTGTTATGCTCACTCTAAAGGAGTTCGATTGGTCCTGAAAGGTATGGTTCATGTGGATATAAAGCAAATTTCTAGTGAAGATGGCCTATTTCCCCGTTTTGTTTTAATCATCTATGGGAGTGTTTTCCAGAGGTGCCAAGTAACAAAGTACAAATACTTTGTCACCTATCCTAAGTAGATATTTTGGGTATCTATACTTATACTTATATTTTAGCTGACTTTTTACTTCTACTCTTTATATTTTTGAACATTTAACTACTTTCTATTGAAAACAGCCTTGTTACTCCTATTTCATTTCATCTAGTTTACATTTCAGGTAGGATTTTTTAGTTAGATATGTGAATTTTCATTCTGTTTATCAATTCCTGACTTTTACAGCCATTCTCACACAGTAAAGAGCAGTGACTATTTACTGTTTTATCTGTCTGCCAGAACACACAGCAATGCATATCAACAGTGGTGGAGTGGAGAATACTAAAAAATCATACTCAAGTAAATGTACTATAACTTGCCCAAAAATGTAGTGCAAGTAGAGTAAAATATGGTTGTAAATATACATAAGTATGAGTAAAAAGGAATACTACTCAAGAGTAGTGAGTATTAAGTATTATGATGTGAACAGCTCATGCGTTTACATGCAATTTGTGCAGGGATGTGTAAACGAAACATTCTGTTGTGCATTAGTAATTGTTTAAGGGCATTTGATGATTTCAGTCCTCATTCAGTAAACATCCATCTTCTTATCAGTGACAAGTAGTCTACACTACCTGACAAAAATCTTGTTGTTGATCGAACTTGACTTGAAAGTGGCAGAAGGTTTTTCCAATGAATCATCTGTTGAATTGCATCCCAAACATCACAAATACTGCACAACTATCGGAACTTGCATGGACCCAAGATTCTCAGAGAAATCAGTCATGTTTGGTGAAAGAAATATCATGGTTTTGGGTTACATACAGTATGGGGACGTGCAAGAGATCTGCAGAGTGGATGGCAACATCATCAGCCTGAGGTATCAAGACATTTGTGCTGCCCATTACATTACAAACCAACAGAGAAGATAAACTCTTCATGAGGATTGTGCTCTTTCTCATACTTCAGCCTCCACATCAAAGATCCTGAAAGCAAAGAAGGTCAAGGTGCTCCAGGATTGGCCAGCCCAGTCACAAGACTGACACATGAAGGAGGAGGCATTGAGGATGAATCCAAATAATTTTGATGAACTCTGGGAGTCCTGCAACAACGCTTTCTTTGCTATTCCAGATGACTTTATTAATAAGTTGTTTGAGTCATTGTAGTGATGTATGGATGCAGTCCTCCAAGCTCATGGGAGTCATAATATTCATTATTTTTCCACTGCACCCAGACTTTATATTCTATACCGTACATTATTCCTTTTAAGTGGCAAGACATTTGTTTGTTTTTTTAGCAAAGCCAGACCTTACTGTCTTAATTAAATTAATAAAAATCAAGGCATGATTATATTTTATTTTGGTAAAATATATGTAATCTAGAGGCCTTTGCCCCTTTATATAAGCCATTGTGATACCAAAAGATTAACTAGAAGTCAAGTTATTATTTGTTGTTCTTAAAAATTCAATAGGTTGCGAGACTTTTGTCAGGTATTGTCTAAAGTCGTTCAGTTATTGCATTGCATCTCTTCTTGCACACTTCCAAATGGTTTGTTGCACTTATGTAGCGCAAATGTCTTGAAGTTGTTCAGTTTGATGAAATTTACTTTCCATGTGCAATTTGATTGGACAAGGATAACAGGACTGATTACTCTACTTTAGCCAATCCCCAGAGACAAGAAAATAAAAAAGTGACCTCAAGTTAAAGGAAAATATTGAAGTAAAAGTAGCAATACGGCCCTAAAAATGTACTCAAGGGAACGTAAAAGTACACATTTTTAAAACAACTTAGTAAATTACTATTCCTGATAAAAAATACTCAATTACAGTTCATTTTAGTATTTGTAATTTGTTACTTTACAACAAGCCTCTCAATCCAGCAGCTTTAAAGTAAAACTTTTAATCTACGAACAGCTAAAAAGTTACAAACAGCTATGAAGACTGCTTATTACTCATAAGTAGGCCCACACGGAATCTGTCACGCAGATTTCCGTCATTTTTTAGCCCATCATTGATTCTGTTTATTTAATTACTTGTGTAAATTTATATTTATTCAGTTTTTAAATGAATTTCAGTAATATTATTGACTAATATGAAAATGATCATATAATTTCTTTACAATACAGTTAGCAAAGTAATATTTTCTGTTGTTTAGTAGAGATATTATATAGAAGACTTGCTTTGTTTACCAAATAAAGTTTATGTAACTGGATTTGCATTTTTAACATTAAATACAAGTTAAAAAGGTATTACTTTTTGTTCATAAATTAAGTTTTTTAGTTATGTTACTCCAAGAATCATTCTACATAAATCCGCAGATTTTTCACAAAATTCTGCCCAGAAATAGCAAAAAAAAATGTAATTTAATGTCCGCAGATTCTTTCTGGCCCTAATCATAAGCTGTGTGTATTTTGTGTGTGTGAGGTACTATGAGGGGTTGTTGTACTCACACTACATCTGTAGACAAAGCCCAAATTTTTACACAAACATTTTACTATAACATTATAGACATTATGGTTTTTAGAAACATAACAAGTAGAGTAGTGCACAACAGGCCCCTGTGGTATGGCCTAAGCTATTATCCTTAATGCCATTTTTTCATTATTTTTTATTTACACAACTGCTATAACTACAGCTACCTCTACTACCACCACCACCACTTACAATCTACAAGAAGTAGTTTAATAACATGTTCTTTTACTTGAGTACAAATCTTGACTTGATACTTCTACTTTTAGTTTTCTTTAAACCCTAGTATCAATACTTCGACCCATGTAATGAATGTAAATACTTTTGAGACCAAAATATACATACCTTATACCTTATACATACCTGTTCTCAACAAGAAACTGCTTCATCAAAAAGAGAACTGAGCTTTTCAGATTACTCGGGATGAGTTTTTTTAACAACCCTAAGTATGAGCAACTATAATTGTGGCTGTCAATGAATCAACGATAAAGCAGACTTTCAAGTTAGTGTTTTGGTTACTGCATGTGTGATGCTTCAAATGTTCTGCAGGAGATGTACGACTCCCAGAAATTGTGGACCCAGTAAACAGGACCGCTTGGATCCAGGGAAACGTTAAACTGGCAAAGAGTCAGTTCATGGATGGAATAAACATAGACATTGAGCAGGCAGTGGAGACCGGTTCCCCTGAATACTATGCTTTGACAGACCTTGTCAAAGAAACCACTGAGAGTTTTCACACAGAGATCCCAGGCTCTCAGGTAAAACAACATGTCATAGAAAATGATGCCAGATAGCTACTTTTAAAGTTCCTGATTATATACTGTTGTATCTTGAACTATAGGTATCGTTTGATGTGGCTTGGTCACCCAAATGCATCGATAAGCGTTGCTATGACTACATCACCATTGCTGATTCGTGAGATCTTTTGTTTGTTATGTCATATGATGAGCAAAGCCAGATCTGGGGTGATTGCATTGCAATGGCAAATGCCCCCTATGACCAGACATTAACAGGCAAGTGATTTATTTATTTTAGATAAAAATGTAAACAGTTAGATTTTTTGAGGCATTAAAATAATTCATTTTGCACTTCATCACTTTTGCACATTTTGTAGCTTGCATAACCTAACCGAAACACCATTGTTATACACCTGAAAGGACAAATGTCAAATCTAACATCTAATCACATTTAAACAGTTGATTGACTCAACATTAAAAATAAGGCTTGTTTTCATGTATCCGTGGTGTAATGCACACCTATTTGCCTTTTAGCTTATGATCAGTACATCAGCATGAACATAGATCCAAAGAAACTTGTGATGGGCGTTCCATGGTACGGCTATGACTACAGCTGCCTAAACTTCTCAAAAGTAAGCTACTTATACATTTTTTTTTTTAGATCTTCAATTACTGAAAATGGCATGCACTACACAAAATGGAATAAAATGTGATTTAATGTAGTACTCTAAATATTGTCAAAGTCAACTCATCTTTATTTCTATAGCACTATACTCACCCTTCTTTTTTCTGTTGAACACAAAATAAGTGATTTTGAAGAAAGTTAAGAACCTGTAACCGTTAACAAATAATAAAAAATTAATTAAAAAAAACAAGTGAAGGCTTTAATTTTTTCAGTTTTTTTATTTTTGCTCTCACTTTAACATAAATGAAGAAAAGAGAATAAAAAGCCATAACAGTATTTCAGATTTCTATTTCTGTTTAACGGAGAGCAGATTTATTTCCACACATTTCTAAGCATAATAGTTTTAATAACTCATTTCTAAAAACTGATTAATTTTATCTCTGCCATGATGACAGTAAATAATATTTTACTCAATGTTTTTCAGGATACTTTTATACAGCGTAAAGTGACCATTAATGGCTTAACTAGGTTAACTAGGCAGATTAGGGTAATTAGGCAAGTTATTGTATAATGATGGTTTGTTTTGTAGACAATTGAATAAAAAATTAGCTTAAAGGGACTAATAATTTTGTCCTTAAAATGGCTTTTAAAAATTTTAAAACTGCTTTTATTCTAGGTGAAATAAAAATACTTTCTCTAGAAGAAAAAATATTATCAGACATACTGTGAAAATTTCTTTGCTCTGTTAAACATCATTTGAAAAATATTTTAAAAAGGAACAAAAAAATCAAGGGGTGGGGGGCTAATAATTCTGAGTTCAACTGTATGTCACTGTTGAAGTTTAGTTCAGTTGAATTCAGTTCAATTTAATACAAATGTCAATGTTAAAGGACAACCCAATGAAGAGCAGTTCCACTAGCCGGAACCAAGCACGCAAAAAGTGCAGTAGCAATTGTAATAAATATTATTTTAATTGATTTCTTTCTTCTGCTTTAATTTTTTGCATAATTTACACAATTCTCACTTCTAGATATAATTTTGCAGAATATATATATATATATATATGTAGTTCCATCAGTCTGAAAAAGTAAGACGTCTAAACTAAGTTGTCAAGACTGTTACTTGCTTTTTAAAGAGGGTTGACTTTTGTGATCTATGGTGTATTTATGGTATATTGTTAAAGCTTAAAGGTGCTGTATGTAAGTTTTTGACTTTTCTAAAGCATAACAATACCATAATACGTTTGCAGATATTTAAGAAACATGCTAACTGAACATTCTTGTTTATCTGAAAAACGGCTGTCTTTGTTTTGGTCATTTAATACGCCCAAGGCCACTTTAGTCAATTATATTTCAGCAATCTGGATTGCCTTGGTGGAAAACTGTGTATTTTGTATTTCGTTCATTCAGTCAGGAAAGCTCTCAAAGTGTGCGTCCGCGACCTCCGATGGGACCTCCGATGCACAGAGACACAGATTCAGGGCCCTATCATACACCTGCGCAATGTGGCGTAAGGCGCGACGCAAGGCGCGACACAATTACAATGGCGATCCAATTGCCCAAAAACAGACTGTGGACATGTGGAATGCTCTTACACCCAATTAACACATGCTGCCTACTGCCATCTAAAACCTTGTCTTAATTGAACTTTAACATTAGCATATTTAATAATCATTCCATGATTGCAAATCATTCAGATAATGTTCCTAGTTTAACACTTGATGGTTTTTAATGTTGTTGTTGTTCTAGACAAAAGTTATGTGGCTAATTTCCTTGATTTTCTTGAAGTGTTTTTTATACAAAATATAAAAATAATGATTTTATCTGGGTTGTATCTATATAGGGTCACCACAGCGGAATGAACTATATATATAATATATATATAAGTGTTTGTCCGCGACTGAAATGGGACCTCCGATGGACAGAGACACAGATTCAGGGCCCTATCATACACCAGCCGCAATGTGGCGCAAGGCGCGACGCAATTGTTGTTTGCTAGTTTCAGCTTGGCGTTAGAGTTTTTTGATGTTTTGCGCCACGCTGTTTAAATAGCAAATGCATTTGCCGCATATGTGCACCCATAGGCATTCTAGTCTAAAAAAGGAGTGTTGAGGCACATTGCTGGTGCGTTGCTATTTTAAGAAACTTTAATAGACTCTTCTATAGACCAGAACAAATGTGGTCTTTTGTCCAGCGCAGAGCGCGTTAGTTTTGCGCCTCGCTTACACATTGTTTAATACAAACAGGATGTACAGCAATTCGCAAATATCTTTACATATTAAAAAGAATTAAAATATTAAGGATATATATAGGATATAATAAGTATATATATATAGGATATAAATATAAAAGATTAAAATATTAGAAAAAATATAATTTTCTACCCTACATAAATATAAAAACCATACTTTCATGCCTTCTTCATCTCAGGGGGCTTTTTCAGTTATTCATAACAATTTGCTTTTGTATAATGTTATCATTATTAGCAGTATTATTTATTATATGCTTATTTATATTTGTTTTTATTAAAAACAAGCTTAGATTTTAGACATCTGTCAGGTTTTAGACTATATGGGGCATAGCATGTGTATTTGGATATAACTCAGTTTTTTGACCACACTTTGTTTTTATTGTTCATTTATTAGTTTGCTGGAAATTAGAATTGAATTTAGAAACAGTTTTAAAACAAATCTTTGCGCTTAACAAACAAAATTATTATTTATAGGCTAATATATGTCTGTGCGTACAAGAAGTTTCCCTATCCACAAGAGTGAAAGTAAACAATGAGGAACTCATCTGTCATTCTCAAGCTGTAAATGCTCTGTTTAACTGTTTTCTCTTTAGTGAAGGGTTCAGTTTTTCCACTTACAAAGTCCGTCAAGTAAATAGCAAATGCGCTATGGTGCGATCCAACTGATTCTTAAAGGTAATGGGAGATAAGACTCTGATTGGTTTATTCTCAAAACACACCTATAACTCATTAAGAAAATAAGCTCAACCCTTTTAGATCATGCGCCACAACGCAAAGTGGATTTTTTCATCCTTATATTAGAAAAAGTGGATTCCAACACACCCTTAATGCGTTTGCGCCTTGCGCTTTGCACATGGATTGTCAAAATAGAGCCCTCAGAGTTCCACATGAGGTGGCTATTATTTAGCAAATAATATAAATATTAAATGTAATGTAAACATTAGGTGAGCAGGTTACATTGTAACCCCGTGTCCTAACAGCATGAAGAGATTTGCAGTGATAAGAAATTTAACTGTTTGAATAGAGCACTCACTGCACACCAATGAAATGGTAAGGTTTATAATCTACATACTTAATACATATTAAACCTCTTTAACATTATTAAATGTACATGCTGAATCACTGATATGTGTTGGCTTGCACTGAGTCACAGTTCTAAAGTTCAGTTTCGCTCCTGTTGGTGTCATCAATCTGGCAACCTGCGTTTGCATGTGTTTTGAACCAGGCGTGCATTACCTAGTTCAACCACTAGATGTCAAACTTACATACTGCAAGAGGATCAGGACAAAATGCATATAAAACAGAATGCCTAGCCGATAAAAAATGATAACTAATTGAAATCTGTTTGCACTCTTTTCTATTCTGGAAGGATGGAGTATGTACTATTCCAAAAGTGCCTTTTAGAGGGGCTCCGTGCAGTGATGCATCCGGCAGACAAATTCCCTACAGCATCATGATGAAACAGATCAACAGCTCAATATCAGGACGACTGTGGGATGAGAAACAGCGAGCTCCATATTATAACTATAAGGTACAGCATCAGTGCTATGTGTCTTATTCAAACTACTTACAACAGTATAAAATAAATATCTGTAAACATATTCTAGTATGATTTCAAGTGACCAGTTTTTACTGATTTAAGGAACATACTTCAAAAAACTTTGATTTAGAATTCAATTTTTGTCTTGTTTCTAGTACAAATTTCTAAAAATTCATAAGCAAAACAAACCATCTTGTTATAAGAAATTATATGCCAAAATTAAGTGAGTTTTTCTTTAAAACAAGCTAAATAATCTGCCAAAAAAAAATCTGATTTTAAAAGGAAAAGCTTGATTATTTTTGCTTACCCCACTGGCAGATTAATTTGCTTGTTTTGAGGTAAAAAAAAAAAAAACATTTCATTTTGGCAAATTATTTCTTAAAACAAGGAAGTATTATTGGATCGTCTAGAAAATGCTTCTTCATTTACGAAGTTTTACTTATTTGGACTAGAAACAAGACAAAAAAATCTAAGTAAGAAAAGCATTTATCACAGTCTGGATGCAATGCATTTTAGAAAGTCATATTCTTTCTCCAAAAATTAATTCAGTTTTTATTTGCAGGACACAGAAGGAATGGTCCATCAGGTGTGGTACGATGACCCAGAAAGCATTGCTCTGAAAGCTGCCTATGTAATGCAACATGGTTTGAAAGGAATTGGAATGTGGAACGGAAATCTCTTGGATTACAATGGCGATCCAATTGCCCAAAAACAGACTGTGGACATGTGGAATGCTCTTATACCCAATTAACACATGCTGACTACTGCCATCTAGGTTTTGCCATCTAAAACCTTGTCTTAATTGAACTTTAACATTAGCATATTTCATAATCATTCCATGATTGCAAATCATTCAGATAATGTTGCTAGTTCAACAATTGATGATTTTTAATGTTGTTGTTGTTCTAGACAAAAGTTATGTGGCTAATTTCCTTGATTATCTTGGAAGTGTTTTTTATACAAAATATAAAAATAATGATTTTATCGGGGTTGTATCTATATGGGGTCACCATAGAGGAATGAACTACTATACTATATATAAGCCAAAGGAAAATGAATGAATGATTTTATGCTGTCAGCAAGGGACGCATGTCATTTTTTAATCATCCTCTCTCATAAATCATCTTAACCTGCAATCAACTATAACTCAATAGGTTTGTTTCACCAAAACATGTTAACAATGTTTTAAAATGATTGCTCTATATCCTGACACAACAATTCATTTGGTTATGTGTACAGTGCAGGGAATTCACACTTAATCTGTAAACAGCCAGGCTAAACCTAAAAAAGGAGATGTTGGATTTTGCACATTAGTCAAACTGCAGACATCCCTTTAAAACTAGTTTTTCTGCTTTATATAAATGTAAATTTGCATTTACACATCGTTTAATAATTTGCAGCGAAAGCTGCAGTCATCTTATTTCTTAGAACACATACTCTACCTGACAAAAGCCTTGAAAAAGCCTTGTCAGCCTATCCAAGTTTTGGTAACAACAAATAATAGCTTGACTTCTAATTGATCATTTGGTGTCAGAAGTGGCTTATATGAAAGGCAATAGCCACTAGATAATGCTTGTTTTACCAAAATAAGATATGATCATGTCTTGATTTTTAGTTAATTAGGACAATAACGTCTGACTTTTAGACAAAAGTCTTGTCACTTAATAGAAAAAATGTACAGTATGGAATATAAAGTCATGGTGCAGTGCCAAAAGAATTAATATTGTGTATGACTTTCATGAGCCTGGGCGAATGCATCCATACAACTCAAATCACTAATAAATAAAGTCATCTGGAATGGCAAAGAAAGCATCCTTGCAGGACTCCCAGAGTTAATCAAGACTCTTTAGATTCATCTTCTATGCCTCCTCTTTCATCTTGGCCCAGACATGCTCAATAATGTTCATGTTTGGTGACTGGGCTGGACTGTGCTGTATTTGTGATAATTGAGATGCAGTTCAACAGATGATTCATTGGTAAAATCTACCTTCTGCCACTTTTCAAAATGATCAACTAAAAGTCAAGTTATTAATTGTTGCTCTTACAACTGGGATCGACGACAAGACTTTTGTCAGACAGTGTAGACCTGTTTTCAACCTGCTTTCTTTACAACTGAGCCTTTTTTTCCATCAGTTCTGCTCTCAAGGCTCGTAGTTCTGTGGCTGCTTGCTTCCTCAACTAGACAAACGGGGAAAAAAGGAAAAAATGAAAAGCTGAAACAAACAACAGAATTGACTAGTGTTTTTTATAATACCTTGATCTCTGTGGCCAGTTTCATTTTAGCGTCGTCCACATTTTTCCTCAGGTTATCAATTTCACTGCTTTCCGTCATAATCTGGATTATTAACTCATTCTGTTAGTTACAAAGCACATTGTTTTTACTTTAGTTAAAATATCGAGACACAAATATTATATATATATATATATATATATATATATATATATATATATATATATATATACATACATATTTATATAACTTGCTAAGGAGTTCTACAAATGGGTTATGATTAATTTTACTGAAATGAGAAGCAAGGTTAGCATTTGAATCTACCTTTAACCTTGAGCTTGACGGCTTCCTTGTTTGGGTTCGGTGTTTGGCACCATCTCTGGCTTGGAGTTGTTGCAGCATTTTACTGTAGAACGTGTGAAGTTCCTGCTGTATTCCTTTAAGCTTGTCCTCTAGACTAGTTGTGGATTTCTTAGTGTCAAAATATTGCCTCTTCCACCTGTCACGTGCTTCAGGGGGCATACAAAAAAGGAATCATTCACACACTCTATAATATTCAAACAAACACAAATCAGACAAAATTCAAGAGAGAATGAAAATCGAAAATAATATGAAAAGCATAACCTAAAGATATCCAAATTTAAGGTGTACTGTGCAAATTAAAATGAAAACCCTCAAAACATCTTAGGTTTTGCTTAGAATCACCTAAATGTTCTTTTTAAACTCTGGAACAGTTTACCATGAGCAGATGAATCAAAGGAAGGAACATTTCAGAGTACACAAGTCCCATTGTGTTTTTTTGAAAGCTACATACACCCAAATCACACAATCATGAGGGGGCAGGGGTGGGGGGTGTCTCTTCACCAATATGCCGCATTGTGCAGCAAAGTGGAGCCACAGGACAACGGCGCCAGTGCACTCACCACACAGTGTAGTGGAGAGATAGTGATACAGCCAATTTGGTGGATGGGGATGATTAAAAGGCCATGATCAGTGAGGGCCGATGGATGGAATTTTGCCTTGACACTGGGTATGCACCCCTACTCTCTACGAAAAGTGACATAGGATTTTTAATGACCACAGAGAGTCAGGACCTCGGTTTAACGTCTAAACCGGAAAACGGCGCTAACTGACAGTATTGTGTCCCCTTCATTATACTGGGGCATCAGGACTGACACAGATCACAGGTTGAGCACCCCATGCTGGCCTCACTGACACCATTTCCAACAGCAACCTAGTTTTTCATGCAGTCTTCATCCAGGTACTGACCAGCCCAGCTCAACCATCTTCGAAACGGATCAATATGTTTAGGTGGGCTTAAGGATGGACATTCAAATTCTGATGTTTTAGAATTTAAATTAAAATTCAGTAAATCGCCACCTCAAATTTTCATTTTCTAATTAGATTAGATTGTATATTTTTCTGCCCTGTCATCTTTGAAATAAGTGTATACTCTGTCCCTAAAAATGGTTTGGGTTTAAGTTTAGGTCACAGTTTTTTACTACTTGCTTATTAAGATATTAACTGTTCATTAGCAGTTTTAAAGTATATGATCATATTCTACAACAGGTGTGACCAACCCTGTTCCTGGAGATCGACCTCCCTGCAGATTTCAGTTGCAACCCATATCAAATACACCTGCCTGTAATTATCAAGTGCTGTTCAGGTCCTAATTAATTGGTTCAGGTGTGTTTGATCAGGGCTGAACTTTGCAGGAAGGCCGATCTCCAGGAACAGGGTTGAGCACCACTATTCTACAACCTACCCAAATCCTAAACCCAACTTCTAACCTACTAACTATTATTAAACAGCTAATCAGTAGTTTATTAAGTTGGTAGTGTTAATAAATGATTGGTTAATACCGTGAATTGTCACCTAAAGTTTTACCAATTTTTGTACTGATAAATATTATCTGTCTGTGGATAATAATCTAGAACAGAGATGCCCAAACTAGGGCCTGCGAATTAAAGTTGGCCCATGCTACCCTTTGATTTGGCCCACCATTCCATTTGAGAAAAGAAGGAGATCAATGGGAAGGTGGTTGGGGTGAAAATCTCTGACCGAGATCCATTCATTTTCTTGTCGGCTTAAGTCCTTTTTTTAATCCAGGGTCGCCACAGTGAAATGAACTGCCAACTTATTCAGCACGTTTTTACGCAGCGGATGCCCTTCCAGCTGCAACCCATCTCTGGGAAACTCCACACACACACATACACACACGCACACACACACACACACACACACGCACACACACACACACACACACACACACACACACACACACACACACACACACACACACACACACACACACACACACACACACACACACACACACACACACACACACACACACACACACACACACACACACACACACTACAAACAATTTAGCCTACCCAATTCACCTGTACCGAATGTCTTTGAACTGTGGGGAGAACCGGAGCACCCAGAGGAAACCCACGCGAATGCAGGGAGAACATGCAAACTCTACACAGGAACGCCAACTGAGCCGAGGTTCGAAACAGCGACCCAGCTTCCTTCTTTCTGACAGAGATCGTCATCTCAAATTAAATGTAACTACTTGTTTGTTTGCTTTGTAATTTCTTTAGTTTTGTTTATTAATCTTCTTTTTAAAAATATGAATATTGTCATTCGAAATATAGAAGGCAATGCACAAGACATTGGCTTGCAAATCAAGGCAAAGGCATGTGCAGCTTAGTGTATTAAGCATTGAATTCCATTGTGTTATTAATATGACCGTTTATGTTTTTACTAATAAGTTCATCATATTTCTTTTCTAAATATACTGCATTAGTTAATAAAATTTAAAACAATGATTTGTAACTTTTTTTAAATATTAGGAAATTAATTAGGAAATTACTCATGGAAACTTTATGTAATACAATTTGGTATATTTACCTTTGGCCCACAGCCCTCAATCATGTTTGGCCCTTCATAAGAAAATGTTTGGGCACCCGTGGTCTAGAACAGGGTTCACAACCTTTTTTAGTCTGTGACCCCTAAAATAACAACGCCAGTAACTCGCAACCCCAAATATCCTCCGAGGTGGTCATAAGTATAGGCTACAAACTCAAAATGGCTCAAACACACCAATAGTCCCAAGTCTGTTTTTTGTTTAATTTTGGAAAATGCCACTCTGAGATCATCATCCATGTTCAGTCGTTGGATTTAATTTTATTGTATGCGAGTGCCATAAAGGTGTCAAAAGGTTTACCCTGGTTCCATGAAATCAATCTGCAGCATCTGACCCTATTGCTGTGTCTTTAATCTAATGTAATGAGACCCCAGGGGCTGCAATCCAAAGGGGAAAAAATGTGTGTTGTTTTATAAGTATTAAATACTATTATTATTGTCTCTAGCATATGGACAAAATATTCTAATAGTTTCATAAAATGAATAAGATTTTTGAAAATCACCAAGCGACCCCCACTTTGGGAACAACTGGTCTAAAAGGTATATGCCAGAATGGTTAAGAGTCATGAAAATGTACATTCTAGATTTACAGGGTCTTAAACTTAAGCCCCATGTTGACCTGCAGGTCGAAATGACCAGTGACCATTATAAGAGCAGCAGTGGTTTTTTTGGGGGGGTTTTTTTGTAGTCTGACAACTTTTTCTAAAATGACAAAAAATATTAATAAATACTGCTATAAACTTTTTACATCTATACATGTATATTTAGCATTGAAAAATGTAAACATTTAACTTAGCAAAAAACAAGTGGTGGCCTCTAATTAAACATTGATAAAATACTGCCCACTGACAAGGGAAATGCTGAACATTCACACAAGGTTTGTGATTATTAGCAAAACAGATATGAGAACGAAAAAAAAAAATTTTGAACTGAAAGCGGGTCATTTTAGACTCAGGACGAAAGAATTACAGAAAATTTTAAAACCCCACAAGGGGTTAAACTCCACAGAAATGCTTTGACGGGAACTGATGCAACACGTATTTACATTGCACTTCACATAGAAGCTAAGAGGTGTACATATTTGTTATTTAAAGCCATACCTTGGTTCCTACGATGTCTGTTAAGAGCTAAAAGCACTCTGCCCTTTTTCAAAAGCATTTGTCTTGTTTTTTCAAGCTCTTTCTTTTGCTCTTTGAGTAGCTTAATTTCCTTTTGATACTCATTGCCTGAAAGCATAACATTTTAAGCATGGTATTATAAAACAAGAATGGCAAAAGCATCCATTAGTAACCCCTTACTATTACTTGTAGTTGTTTGTGGTGTAAAAAATTCCAAGGAATAGGCGGACAGTGGAGAATTGCTCTCTGCTGGTATTGGAGAGTTTGGTCGACTCATGAGAACCTGTAAAAACACATAAAATACACACTGAAAGCTTCTTACAACAATGTCAAGAACACACTTTTCAACAACCAGCTGTGTGAGGAATTTTACTCAGCCACTAAACTCATGGTGTCTTTACAAGAGTGAGGCATTTACAGTTGTGTAACTTCCTGCATTGTCTAGGCGATCTCTACTTAACCTTCAGAAACTCTTAACAGGGTCAGCTGAAATTCAGAATTTGAACTACAACACTGCATTCTGTACAAAACTGGAATGATAAATATATTAAAACAATGGATGTATCAAATGTAATATGAGACAAATATGACGATCCCTTACCACATTTTCTGTTTTTCCTTCGCTTGATTTCAGTGTCAGAGAACTATTTAATTTCCTAGGTACATAAAATAAGTTAGTAAAGGTAACTAAATATTCCATGTAGATAATGTTAGTAACCTATACTTACCGGCCACTTTATTAGGTACACCCTAGTACCTGGTTGGATCACCTTTTTGCTTTCAGAACTGCAATAATCATTCGTGGTGTACATTCAACAAGATACTAAACTTTTTCCTCAGAAATTTTGGTCCATATTGACATGATAGCATAAAAGTTGCAGCAGATTTGTCTGCTGCACATCCATAATGTAAATCTCCAGTTCCACCACATCCCAAAGGTGCTCTATTGAACTGAGATCTGGGGACTGTAAAGGCCATTTGAGTGCAGTCAACTCTTTGTCATGTTCAAGAAACCAGACTGAAACAATTTGCGCTGTAAGACATAGTGCATTATCCTGCTGGAAGTAGCCATCAAAAGATGGGTACACTGTGGTCATAAACGGATATACATGGGACCAGTCTGGCCATTCTCCTTTGACCTCTAGCATCAATACGGCAAGACCAGCCCATCTGGCATCAACAACCATGCCACATTCGAAGTTGCTTATCACCTTTCTTCCCCATTCTAATGCTCGGTTTCAACTGTAGTAAATCGTCTTGACCATGTCTACATGCCTAAATGCATTGAGTTGCTTTTTTTGTGATTGGCTGATTATAAATTTGCGCTAACAAGCAGTTGGACAAGCAGTTGTACCTAATAAAGTGGCCTGTGAGTGTATATTTCAAGACAACTGACTTTGACAATGAGTAAAGGGCAAAAGAATCAAGATACCTTGTCAGGCCATGAGTATCGTCAAATGGCTCCAATGCCTGTGAGGCTCCCGTGTTTTTTGCATTCCTTTTAAAATAGCGTTTCTTTTTTGCAGTTGCATTCATTTCTACTTGAGAAAAGCCTTCCTGCTTGGCAAGTTGTCTGTCTGCATTGAATAAATAAAACACAAAGACCCCCAAAATGATTAAGTATTTAAGTAAAAGAAAGTGTTGATTATATTAAATGATTTGTAAGGAAATTTGCCCTCAACAAAAGGATTTTGTAATAATGATAATTATCGTGCTGGAATATTATTATTAATTTGAGCACATTGGTTCAACAGTCATGGAGTACTCTACTAATAAACTAATTTTACTACAGCTAGATTTGAAAACCCCAGAAAAATGCTGCACTAATCATTGGTAAATTCAAACTTAAAGTAGAACATAATGGCAAAGTACCTGCTACACTTTAACTTAGAAGTGTTATTTAAACAGTATTTTCTTTGAAGGCAAAATGTAGCCAAATTGTAGCAAAGTTCTCTGTAGTGCAACCAATTGAATAATCAGTAAATAGTACATTTCGCCCCTATGTTGTACAAGAGGCACTACACAAGCACAATGGTTTTCAAGAGCGATCCTGCGCTAAAGTTCTTCATACCATGCTGTTTGTTTATGGACTCCATCTGCTCATGTGCACTGTATGTTGGAAGAGGAGTGTCAGTGTATTCTGCATCTTCATCACTCTCCTCCTCCTCTGCCTCCTGCATCAGGACAGACTGCCGAGGGCCTATATTAATCGAAGGGAATTTAATGGGCTCTTTTATATTGGCAGGTGCACATGTTGGTCTGAGCAAATTATGACTGTGATGGTCGGTGCTGCTAACTAAAGTCTCAGGGCTGAAAGTGCTAGAACAAAGATCGCTGTCGTTCTCTAGCACAGGCAAAAGGTAGATCTCAGGAAAAGGAGCCTAATGGGAGAATACAAACACATTTCATAGTATTTTTCATTTGACAAACAACATTTTGTTTGTTTTAGATAGTAAACACTTACAAAAGGAGGAGTAAATGATTTTACTGTCAGTTCCCTCTCTTGCCTCAATTTGACCTGTGATTGAAAATATAGTTAATTTATTTCCACTTTATATTTTGTGATTCTCAAGGGCAAATGTGCAAATTCAAATTTTGCCAAATTCCATTGCAATTTAAATATTCCTACCTTTACATATACACTGTAAGAAATGTGTAAATTAAGATTTTCCTTATTTTGTGATTTACAATTTTTTTTTATTTTATTTAGGATTGTGAATTTCATTATGGGACCTTCATCTCACTTCTGTCAACTTTTGAAAGTGCATTGTATTGACATTTTAGTTATGTTGAACTAATAATATATAAAGATTTAAGTATGTAAAATAACAGAAAATGTACAGGGAGTTTACTACAAAGTTTTGGTAGTGTAATATACAACACCAACCCAGACAATATATCAGTTTAAACTATTAAAAATGTTGATAAAACTTTTTTAAACTTTTCAGGGTTAGAAGTTGTTGAAATAAAGATCAAGGTCCCAAAATGCAATTCAAAATTCAGAAATAAATGGGGAAAATTAAACACAAAAGACAGAAAACTACTAATTTCAGGATTTTCCTGCAATTTATCTGCTATTATTCATCTACATAAAAGTATATTATTTAGCAAAGACAGATACTTACCAATGCAAAACTTCTGCCAACACATTTCAAAAAAATGTATTTCTCAGCAATCCTGTCAAGCCCTAGGATTGATCCAAGTTCAGATCTGAGATCCGACAGGCTCGCTTCTGAATCAACTCTGAGACAAAACCCAATATGAATGACATATGAAGACAGCTCACCAAAATAAACAACACTACAGTAATTTATTGTAAATACAAAAGTTTTTGAACCATAAAGTGTATTATACTGTATATTATATTTACAACAGTTTGGTAATGAATGCTACAGCATGTAGTATTACCTATAATAACCAATAAACTATGACACATATTGCAGTATACTAGTGTAAAATTGACATATTTACTACAGCAATCTGATGTTTTGTAGCATATATAGCTGCAAAGAACTAAGCATACTTGAGTATTTTAATAATTGTAGAATTGCAACAACAGATATCCAACTACTTTAACCTTTCAAAACGAGTATTGTATTAAAAATAAATAGGTATTTTACATGAGGGTCAGCACATGGTTCTAATTTTGTATTTTTGAATCATATGTGGGGATTTATAAATACACATTAGGCTATTTTTTAGAGCTTATCACAATGTCCATCTTTGTTACAAAAAAGTGAACATAATATGAAACGTAACACTATTACATTGTAGGCTATTAAATGTAAACTTTGTGCTATGCTCAAATTCAACACAAACACTTACTGACACAATTCTTCTGTGAAAGCGGCTTCTTTACCAATACATGTTCTAAAGAAAGGGTTATTAAACAGGTCGTGACAAATAGTTCTTCTCATTTCCCTTATTAAAAGCGGTATAGCCTACTAGCCTATTTGTGGTCAACGTAATCCAACTTAAAAAATATAATAATTTAAACAATGACGACAAACTATCACCAAACTCAAGAAAGTATCTGACCTGATAAATCCAGCTGAGATGAACGAGTCCACAGCTGCAGCTGATACCTTATTCAGCCTCCGATCAAACTGATCTTCAGGTACAAAAAACACGTGCAGTTCCACAAGCTTCATTAAAAAATAAAACAGTAAAACACATAGAATAAAAACTCTAGGCTTAAATTATCTGTCGTTATTTAGAAAATACCTCTGTGATTTCAGTCTCCTTGCCTGTAAACCCGCTCATGGTCCCATTGATTCAGCAGATGATGAGTGTGCAGCGTGTGTGGGTGAAGTGCTAAGTAACAGTATCTTGAGTTCAAACAGTACCACGGGGAACAAAAAAACACTCATAAACCCCCCAGTGTTTCAGGACATTGTGTAAACGCTACCATGTATGAATGTGAAGACGACTGTTATAACAAACAGCTAAAATAGGCTTTTATTGTAATATTATAATCCCAAATAATATTACTGACGTGATGGCATTTCTGAAGAAGTGTATACTTTAACAATTTTGATAAAATTTTTAAAAAGTATGTTTACATTTTATTTTCTGCACCACCTTATGCACAACATGGTAAATGGACAAGCAAATGCTTTTAACATTCAAGAACCAATGATGTGCTATTACAATTGAAAATTAATTATTGCTGCCTGCAATAGAAATATATTTTTAACAAAATAATTTTGAATCTGTCTGCCAAGAAGTTTTATAATTTACTTTGCACTAGTGTTGAAGTATGAAGTCAAGTATAAAATGTAAATGGGTTACATTTTAATTATAGGTTTATGCATGCGCATCTCTTTACACTCACTTACTAATTGGATGTTTACTAATCATCTGAGGTGGTAGGCCAACGAAAAAAGTGCCTAGGTATTGGGTAACGAACAGTGTAAAAGCACCATTCTGTGAGAGCATTATTAGATTCATTACACTCAGAAAAGTGTGGCTGACTTAACAGCAGTGGGGGATGACAAATAAAAAATAAATAATCGAATATACAGTTTAAATTAGATTTTTCTGGTTAATACATGTTAAAAATTCTAATACTTTTTCTGGTGTCACTTGTTAAAAATGTCCTTAAGAGAGTTCTCATTATAAAAAGTCTTTCTGGAGTCATTAAAAGCAGGGCAGTCCAGTAAAATGTGTTTTACAGTCCATGGAGTTTTACAGTGCAAACATTGGGTAGGGTCTTCATCTTTGAGTAAAAAGTTATGTGTTAATCTTGTATGTCCAATACATCATCTGGTAAAAAATTACTTGATCAGCTCGTTTCTTAAAATGTCTTATACCTCTGTGTGTAATTTCAGGCTTGATTTCGTGTAATTTATTGTTTTCCAGAGTATCCCACTCCTCTTGCCACTTGTTTAAAATATAATTGTTAATAAAAGGTCTCATCTCTGATGGAGAAGTTTGACATTTGTTCACAGCTTGTTTTAAAGCAGCTTTAGCAGCTGTATCATCTCGTTCATTCCCTGAAAGTCCAACATGTCCAGGTATCCAGCAAAAAATGATATGGTAAAGTTTGTTTTGTAGGTGGTGAACTTTAGTTAAAATATTTTCAAGCAAGGGATGATCACTCTTTGAAGATTCCATCTGTTGAAGACATGATTTAGAGTCTAAAAATAATGTTTTTCTTTTGTTGTGTACTTTTTTATAAACTCTAATGATAAAAGTAGTGAGCGGGCTTCAGCTGTGAATATGGAGCATTCTTTTGGCAGCCTGATTCCATGACTTTGTTCCGCTGTCACCATTGCTGCTGCTACATTACTTTCCATCTTTGAGCCATCTGTGAAGATTGTTAAGTGTTGAGATCTTTTCCCCTACTAAGTTTATTCTAAAATGGAAATTCTTGAATCACAATGACCAGAGAAATTATTTTCATTCAAATTTCTTTAATTAAAATATCAGACGTCCACAATGAGTCTTTAGGTCTTTTAAAGTTGAGTTACATTTTTGCACATTTTAAAGCATTTTGGTAAATGGTGAGAACAAATCTTGCCTAAAACTTCACCTAAACACACAACAATTCGCATTTTTAACCTTTTCAACAGCCCTTTTTTTTTTTTTTTTTCAAAATTTTAGCAAGAAAATACAATGAGGAAAATAAATGTCTTTCATTTATCATGCCTCAAAACAAAGCAAGCACAAATTTTGTACAGCCAGACTATAAATGTATGCATAAATTGCAAGACTGTGAAACAGAAACTACAGAGCTGAAGTTTCAATTCAAGTTATTTTTATACATTTATGAAACCTCTACACAGTTGACCATTGTTGCCCGTATTTTCCTCAGAGATGGAATTTTCTTCTGCTGGAGTCCATCTCATGGCGCTGAAACATAACGCAGAAGTTAACAATGCATGACTAACACATAGTATAAATTACTGACAAATAATAATCATTAAATAACCAATGCAGGGCTACGGATTTGGACAGGTTACTTTAACACTTGTAAAGTACATGTTGTTATCTGCCAGTGCAACTGCATTTGTTAGTGGTGGCTGAAACCAATAGCTATGTTTCTAATATATTGAATTTAACTGAAGTATCCCATAAAACATCTGCAACGTCAAAAAGAACTAAATCGTCACTTGATGAGAAACAGGTACAAAATATCAAAAAGAAAATGAAATTTTCAAAGGTAGGATAAGCCACTGTGGCAAATTTTCAAAAATATAATACATTTCTTGCATCTCAGAAGACAAAACACAGTGAACTCGCAGAGGCTTTTGAAGGCTTGAGACCACTTTTTGGGAGTGCAGTAGCTCAACGCAGTTCTGGGAGGTAATAATATCAAACCCCTTTTTTTTTTAGATTGACCAAAACAGCATTTCAGATCAGTGCTTCACAGAAGTTTAAAATATAGTTGCAGTGGTAGCCCGATTAAAACACCTTTTACCCAGAGCACATAAATGACCAACTACATGCGACAAACAAAAAATAATGTGATTTTTACAGAATTTTTTTTTTTTATTGTTACTCTCTCAAGTTCAGGTTGCTTTATTGGCGTGACATTTTGTACAGTATGGCCAAAGCATTTTAGATATGTATAAAATATGTAATATATAAACATCATCAAATTAATAAAATATACTGCAAATAAGAAAAAAGGACTGAAAACAGAAATGAACAGACAGTATCTCTATAAATCACAAGAGTAAAAAATGTAAACCATTTAAGACAAATGAGTTAATTAACCATTTCTAACGGTATACAAATATTTTGCTGCCAGTGTAGATACCATTTTGTCCTCTGAGTATATAGTGACGTTTTGAGTCATTTATATAACAGTGTTGGGTAAATTAAAAAAATAATAGATTACTAAAATAAAAATTACTACTGTAAAAATGTAATCATCACTAATTACTTTATGTAAAATGTAATCAGAATACTATTTACTTTACTTTGAAGTTACTTTTAAAACATAAATATACCTATAAAAACACAAAATAAACTGCAGCACTTTCAGTACTTTAATATTCACTGAAAAACATTACAATGGGTTGATCACAGCAGCTTAACATATTTAAATTACTTAAAGAGTTCGGCCTAAACCGGTTTGTCTTTTTTTTTAAACACAGAAGGAGGAAACTGGATACCTGTAGCCACTGACATCCATAGTATGAAAAAGTACTTCTGTGTTTGTCTGAGGTAATTAGTCTACCTAAATGTGTATATTCCAAGGTATGAAGCTGATCGATTAGTTCTTGTCGCGTGACTCACATTTCCCAGGCGCACCAGTTGAAACACACAATTGACCCTTCGCTAAGCCACACCAAAAAACCGCCACCCACCAATCATGGCAAAGCAACCGTAGCTACGCGCAGGAGGCCCGTCAAGCTTGAGCGTGTACTCATACTAAAAGTGTTGATACTATGATGTTAACAAATATTACAGAAACTCTAACCTTCTCACCTTAAACTACTGTCAACTAGGCTTGCCACGATAGATGGTGTTGACATCACTTTTCCACCGTGACACCGCCCCCCACATTTGTTTTTTTTAAAGTATTTTTTTTTTATATTTATTTGAATTAAATAGAATGTATAATTCTAAATAATTTACTAAATGAGAGAAATTATTTAAGACGAGAGCATGCACTATAATTATAATCTGAAGATAGCTAAAATGCATTTTATTTCATTATCACGTGAGGAGAATGAAAAGAGTCGAATTTACAGAAAGAGAATGGCGGACGATTTAGTGTCAAAAAAAGCGCCTGTTTAGTGTCAAAAAAAGCGCCTGTTTGTCAATATTTTGGGTTCAAACCAAATGCAAAAACAGAAAACATTAATGAGGCAATCTGAAAACTTTGTCTGACACAGATGGCAGCATCTGGAAGAAACGCAACTAATTTATACACACACCTCAACGCACCTAGTAGGCTACTTGATGTTTAAATTATGGGTGGGTCGCGGGTAGATGAGATAAATAGCCATAAATACCCAACACTTACTCTCATTTTAAAAATCACACCACTATCATCTCACAATGTTCAATAATATGTATTCTTATTTTTTATTAAAAGGAGTGATTTAGCAATGCCGCACCATTAATAAGCCAACTGCAGAGAAACAAAGCAAACATGACGGCAACCGAAGTGATCACGTTTTCCAAAGTTCAGTGTTTTTTTCACTTGATTATTCTGCTTTTAATGTAAAAAATCAATAAAGAATAGACCAACAAGAGTGTATCTTTTGAGCGTGTCTTTTACTACTAAAGCCGCTCTCTTCAGAAACAGAAAGCTGCTTCGTCTATCTGGCAATATTTTGGCTTTTAATCAAATTAAAAGTTAATTTAGATGAGCCAGTATTTTAAAAATTGCAGTAAAGTAACTGTGATGTGCAGCCACACATTGAATCTGAGGTCTGATCTCATTTCCCTCTTACACTGTCATTCAGACATTGATACAGAAACCAAGTCGCAAAACTGATGCTGGTACCAGCTGACAGGTAGAATAGCGGAAGCCTTTGCAAAATGTGTCAAAATACAGCACTGAAATTAACAGGCATAAACGTCTTTGAGCCAGAAAGTCTATCTGTAGGATATCTGTCAAAACGCATTCAGAGCCAATGTTATGTAGAAGTTGTGTCGCCTAATAATTATTTTAATTCTAATAAAATGAAAACCAAAATAAACAATTCATTGCATTTTTTGTTTGATAAAAAATATACGGAAACAAACAAAATCAAA